GTCCTTACAACCTGACAAATATTATGATTTGGGTTTTCTCCGGTATCATGTAGGTGGGTATTTCGACGAATATTTGGGTGACGATATAGAAAAGATTTGGGTGAGGATTTGGACGAAGATTTGGGTCACTACTCAAGCGAAGATTAGGGTTACATTTTTATCGACGATTTGCCGTGTCGCCACGGAGACGACATGTCGTGGTGTTCTACCCTGCCATACAAAGCCTTGTTTTTTTTCATGCCGCGTCGTTGCGCCCTTTTTTAAGTATTGCTACTTTTGTTCTCTGCCACTCCTTGGGGCTGTGAGTTATATTCGGCAACATAGAATATGTAATTCCCTGTTTTTGTAAACCCTGGTTATTTTGAATTCTTCACGCTTCGCGTATCCCCACCAGCCCATCCCCAAACAGCAACTCCAGCGAAACATGCCGACAGTCGTGTTTTTCAGGCGTATTTCTTCCTGCTCTCGCATATATACCCTGTTCCAATGTCCTCCTGCCGCCTTGTACATCCACCTAGTGGGGGGAGCAGGAGGAGGACGAGTCCGAGGAGGAGGAGGGAGAGAAGGTGTTGGGAGGGAAGACGGAGGGCGGTCGTCGTCGTTTCACACACGTGAACGAGTCAGACGACTCAAATGACGAGAAGAAGAAATAGTAGTAGTAGTAGTAGTAGTAGTAGTAGTAGTAGTAGTAGTAGTAGTAGTAGTAGTAGTAGTAGTAGTAGTAGTAGTAGTAGTAGTAGTAGTAGTAGTAGTAGTAGTAGTAGTAGTAGTAGTAGTAGTAGTAGTAGTAGTAGTAGTAGTAGTAGTAGTAGTAGTAGTAGTAGTAGTAGTAGTAGTAGTAGTAGTAGTAGTAGTAGTAGTAGTAGTAGTAGTAGTAGTAGTAGTAGTAGTAGTAGTAGTAGTAGTAGTAGTAGTAGTAGTAGTAGTAGTAGTAGTAGTAGTAGTAGTAGTAGTAGTAGTAGTAGTAGTAGTAGTAGTCGTAGTAGTCGTAGTAGTCGTAGTAGTAGTAGTAGT